TTGTAGAAGTTGTGAGCTGTCCAAAGTTCTTGCGGCTGATGTCCTTGCACAAGTTCACTTATGTTAGTAGGCAGCAAATTGTGAAAGATTGTAAGTGATGGAAAAAAATCTACGTCTTGTGGAGTAAATGTGCAGGAGATACTCCGAATAGACAGGTTAGAAATCCTAGAGAAGGTATGTGATATTGCATCATACTGGAAATCCCCATCAGGAAGTGGGAAGTAGAATGGGCGGAAGGTAGCGCATGGCACTCAAGGTGAGCACCCAATTATGAGGATCGTGTTTGGATCCAGGAAGATCCGTGAAGTAAAGTCAGTCAGATTTGAGGTCTGTTGTAGTAAGTGGAGTTGAAGTAAAATATCAGTGTTGCAAAAATAATGTCCGTTTTTGCAAATTTTCACTTTGGAAAGCTATAACTTCGTCCTTCATATTTTTGAATGCAGTCAAGACCATCAGAAACAGAAAAACTTTTGTAGTTTAGGCGCACCTGCCTGTACTGATATTGCAAACGGGAAGGAAACCATGTTAATAACTGAAACTTTTCTTTTGAAAACCTTGTTTTCAACAGCTTACGACTCCCTTCAAGTTTTGTTTCTATGGCTGGCAATCAGCTTATTTTGTAGCCGCAGGCCGTGAGTTTACGAGTGTATAAGAAAAGACTCCAAAGACGGAGTTCGAAAGAAAAGATAAAAATTCAAAAATGTTCAATTTTTTGGGCCAATTTGTTGTAGGCTTGTGAGTGCCAAATTATGAAAATTTGAAATTCTTCGCGCAGTGAACCAGTGCCAGGTTTGTACGGTGGAATTCTTCAGTGGCCTTACGTTTCGACAATTTCGTCTTCGTCGGAGGCCTGAAAGTGGATTGCAGTGCAGTGTTATATCTGCGAAATTAGACCGCCAAACGCCTCTCCGCACTGCCGGGTCTAGACCTCGTTGCGAAATTAGACCGCCAAACGCCTCTCCGCACTGCCGGGTCTAGACCTCGTCCCGCACTCAGCGTACTGAGACATGTTGTTCAGAATACGAACCTTTATCCACCATGGTGTTAGTGAGAGTCAGTAGAGCCAGTACTTAGCCGCACCGAAGAGACAGACTACACTGAGTCTTGCCCAGCTATCCACACTTATATAGGTGCAGGCTTCACTCACAGATCGTTAAGATAGGCAAGAATTCGCTTGTTATCGACACGCATTCATTTCTGTTATTCATGACAGGATTTCTGAGAGAAATCCACGCTGCCTCAACGGCCTTTCTCAGTGTAATCTCTGCCTCGTATGACAAGATAGTGCATTTAACGTCAAATTCATCGCCGTTGTGCGTCTCAATCCTATGTCTTCCCAACGGTAATAACGCATTTGCTCGTCTCTCAACAGACACTACGACGCAGAATGTCTGGAAAAGCATTGCATTGTCTGCCCCTAGGGAAAACCAGGCGATTGCGCAAAGGCAGGAGTAATGTATGAATTGGAATGCTTGAATTGTAAGGCGACTTATATCGGAGAAACGGGTAGATTGCTGAACGTTAAACGTTAACCGCGAAACTACCTCGAGACAACTCTACTGGACTCTATCTTATATATAAAGCTGAATGTCTGTTTGTCTGTCTGTCTGTCTGTATGTCTGTCTGTGTGTGCGTATGTTCCGAATAGAAAATTCCATTTCTGAACCGATCCGGACCAAACTTGGCACACATACGCTACGGGCCCCGGCGGGTGTCATAGGCTACTTTTCGTCATCGATCGATATCGATTTTATCGATTTTTATCGATTTTTTTGCTGAGTTCACCTACGGGGCTGGGATTTTGCACAGGGGGGTAATCGAGCATGCTGATTACGAACACAATATTAGTTTTCAGGATCGTCCATTACTTTTATCGATTTTATCGATTTTTTTGCAAATGAGCTACGGGGCTGAATTGGCACAGGGGGGTAATCGAGCATGGGGATTCCGAATACAATATTGGTTTTCAGGATTATCGATTACTTTTATCGATTTTATCGATTTTTTGCAAAGTTTGAGCTAGGGGGCTGGGAGTTGGCACAGGGGGTAATCGAGCATGCTGATCATACCCAAGGGGGGTGATCAGCATGCTCGATTACACCCCTGTGCCAAATTCCAGCCCCCTAACTCAAATTTTCAAAAAATCGATAAAATCGATAAAAGTAATGGACGATCTTGAAAACTAATATTGTATTCGTAATCTGCATTCTCGATTACCCCCCCCTGTGCAAACTCCCAGCCCCGCAGGTCAAACTTTACAAAAAAAAATCGATAAAATCGATAAAAGTAATGGACGATCCTGAAAACTAATATTGTGTTCGTAATCAGCGCTTGATTACCCCCCTGTGCAAAATCCCAGCCCCGCATGTCAAAATTTACAAAAAATCGATAAAATCAATAAAAGTAATCGATAATTCTGAAAACTAATATTGTATTCGGAATCCCCATGCTCACTTCCCCCCCTGTGCCAACTCCTAGCCCTGTAGGTGAACTCTGCAAAAAAATCGATTAAAATCGGTAAAATCGACATCGATCGATAACGAAAAGTGGACTGTGACACCCGCCGGGGCCCAAAATGTATGTGTGCCAAGTTTGGTCCGGATACGGCGGAGCCGGGTAAGCCAGCTAGTCAAAACATAATTCCCAGCCGCCGGCAACACAAAACCAAACTTCACATTGGGCGGTTGCAGTTTGTGCCCAGCGTATTAGCAGGGAAGATTCCTGCGAGGAATTACAACCACAACTCGGGGAGAAAGCAGGATATCTTCCCTGCCAATACGCAGGGCACAAACTACAACCAATACTCACCTCATCGGCGTTCTATTTCCACTTAGTCTGGACAAAACACCACCAGATGCGCGCGCTACTCTAACTTCTCAGCAGAGAACTATTGAATCTCGAAAAAAAAATGCTTGAGAAAGGAAAATCGTATCTTTTCATATAAGTTCAAAATTTTACTAAGTTACTCTCGAACATTAGCCATAATAACAGTTTCTATTACTTTGAAACGGGAATAGGACAATTTCCACATAAGACGAATGAACACAACAATGACAGAAGACCGTTACACAGGATGTGGATTGCTGGTTGGGTAGGCATCAGCCTGTGGTCGTGGAGGGAAAGCTCAAGAAGCCAGACAGCATCCTACTCCTAGCTCGATCCAGGCTTGGTACGGAGGCGTATACACCATACAGTGGGATGTGTATCGTCCTCATAACTGTAACAGCTGATCTTATTCTCATACTAGTTGACTTACCCGGCTCCGCCCGGCCCTGTCATTATTATATTCGTAATCAGCATGCTCGATTACCCCCCTGTGCCTACTCCCAGCCCCGTAGCTCAATTTTTGCATCGATAAAATCGATATTGATCGATGACAAAAAGTAGCCTATGACACCCGCCGGGGCCCGAAGTGTATGTGTGCCAAGTTCGGTCCGGATCGGTTCAGAAATGGAATTTTCTATTCGGAACATACGTACAGACATACAGACAGACATACAGACAGACATACAGACAGACAGACAGACAAACAGACATTCAGCTTTATATATAAGATCATGCTAATCCATTATCTGTGTCTTATATCTTATTCTCATGACATAGCTCTTTCGCGTGCATTCCATGCACCTCCTCTTAGAACCATTGTCTTGAAGATACACATGCCAAGCAAATCTACAAGATTGCAAAAAGTCTGGATACAATTTTACTTACAATTTTACTTACGTAGGCTGAAAGCCGCAAGGATCCATCTGGCGTACGCTTTCCGAAGGTGTCGCTTATCGAATCGCCTTGCGCTTTTGCACAGTAGACCTACATGCTGGTAAGATGCCATGACTTAAATTTTAGCTCAAGGTGTATGCTGGAACTCGCTCTATGAATTTCGTTACACACACACACACACACACACACACACACACACACACACACACACACACACACACACACACACACACACACACACACACACACACACACACACACACACACACACACACACACACACACACACACACACACACACACACACACACACACACACACACACACACACACACACACACACACACACACACACACACACACACACATACATACACACACATACACATACACACACATACACACACATACACACACATACATACACACATACACACACATGCACACACACATGCACACACACATGCACACACACATACACACACACATACATACACATACACACACACACAGAGAACCTAAACACCCTTAGCCCGTTATTACAAGTTATGATAGCTAATACTGTGACAGTATGCAATTCTTAGTTTTGTGGCTTGCTCTCTCTCATAAAAGCTTATCTGCATCCGTTCTCTTATATGTTTTTTCCAAAGGATGACACACTCAAATTAAAATAACGTAAATTTCAAATATCTGAAAGATTTAAAGCTTTTCAGTTTATTTGCGCTCTCTTCCGCAGCGGGTATATTCAAGCATTCAAAGGCAGTGACTCGGCAAAAAGCGCTTCTCAGCTTTTGGTGATTTTGAGTAGCAAATTACCAAGTACACTGTAACCTATCCAAGGCCTAGCAACCCTCCCACTTTTATTGAATGGGCGTCAACGGTAAGCTGTTGAAGCGACAACTTGGCGCATGAACCAGAGGGTGGAGTTGGGACTATGGTTTACAGGGGGAGGGGAGGTCTACTCCGAATACCATCAGAATCCAATAGCGGTTCATTGCCGAGCCACTGCCTTTGAACCAGGACGGCACAAATTTTTGAAAGCGCTGGACTACGTTTTTGGGGCGAAAAGCAAAGAAGATATCGTTTGTGGGGTCCAAAAAGAACAAATTAGACTCCGTTTTCGAAAAGCCTAGAAACGGACTCTTGCCGGGCACTGCTTTAAGCCCTTGAAAAGGGAGGAAAGGGTCACCGGTTCACATTCCTTACACGACATGAGCATGCAGAGAGAACGTTTTAGTGTGAGGAGAATCCTTTACTGGTTTGTAAAATGTTGCAAATATTATCAATCACAACAACAAAATTCACTTTTATTTTCTAGTGAAAAGCCATCTTCTTACATACATACGATCGTACTTTAAGGGAGCACAAGTCGTTAGCCCATTTCTGATACGCCTGAGCATATCTGTTGTCCCTGAAGGGATCAGGGTACGCCTGAAATTATCACGTAAGATTTTCTAGGATTGATAGGAACCGATTGATTAGATTATAAATAAAGATTGGATAAGTTGATTAGACTACAAGGCCAAAGAAATAATGACTTCCTTCAAGCGTCAGGTGAAATTTCAAAAAGTTTTTTAGCACCTGGGCCCGAGAAGTCCTGAAACATCTTGCAGATCAAAAAAAGCAGTACAGCGGTCATGCACGTCTAAATGGAGTATCTGCTGCTCACGACCGTGCTTTAGCCTCCGACAAATTCGCGCACTTCTGTTGCAAAAAGCTGCGGCAAAAAAGGTATGCTCCTACTCACTAAGCACGACATTTAATACACCGTTGGTGATCGAAATTCAAGTTAAAACAGCTAACTTTAGAAAAACTCTCTAGGCTATACGACAAATACTGCATTTCGAAAAAATGTGTGATTTGCCCGTATAACAATGTCGGTGATTGCGCCAAAACCGGGGTAGTATATCAGATAGATTGCTTAACATGTGGCGCTACGTACATTGGAGAAACCGGACGTGCACTTGGTGTGAGAATGAAAGAACATCTAGCCAATAAACGGGAAGGTAGTCTGACTTCACCTGTCGGAAAGCATAAGCACGACGAGCATGGTGACCACGACTATCAAGTTAGATGCTCGATTTTAGCTTACGAGGCTGACGTAGCTGCGCGGAAAGCTGTCGAAGCCTTGTGGATCTCAAGCAGGAACCCACTAATGAACAACAGGAATGAATGCTTGGCAATTACGAGTGATTTCCTGCCGTTCATTCCGTTATGTGAGCTATAGAGAAGTAATGCAGTTTTCGATACCTTGTATGGATAATTTGCACTACTTACACAAAGAAGGCGGTCGCACACCACCATCAGTGCGACAGCGGTGAAGCCACGGTCAGCTCGTCTTTCCATTTTGGGGTCTTTGCTTGTGAAACCATAGAGGGGATCGAATACCAGCCGGGGTCGACAAGGCGTTTTTTGGTATAGGCCTATGATCATCAATCTCGCTCCACTTTAGGCCTCTGAAGGCGACGATTGGTGTCGAAACGTAAGGCCGCTCTACTAATAAAGCTTCACCAAAAAACCTCGTGTTGGCATATGTATCTAACGCTATTTTCAAACGCTATTTTCTGTTTTTGTTTTTTTCTAGACCATTGCTCCGCAAATTCAATGATTCAAGTTTTCTTTCGAGAGAGAGCTTTTGAACATTGAGAAGGTTTTTTGTGCCTTTTCTACGCGTGAAAAAAAGCTTCTAAATTTATTGCGGAAGTTTATACTTTAGACAGTCGCATTTGTATCGAAATCCTTTTGTATTCATTTTCTTGGTTAGGATTCGAGCGCAAATGAATGCATAATTTGGAAGTAGTTCTTATGTGATAGAAATTACCCTTTCAAATAAAGTCTATGGCTTTAAGAGTGCTCTTAAAACTGCTTTTGAAGCTGCTTTACTATCTGCCAAGCATTTTGAAAAATTATGAGTGTTTTTTGAGCAAAAAGCACGCAGAATTTAGAAAAACAGCTGCTACGTCTCCACCGGCACTCGAGCATCGCAACGTTGAATATTGTAATTTGCAAAAGATCTGTCATTCACTTTAAGTGTTCTCATATCCAATTTGACCATTTGAGCAATCCTGAATCATTTTGTCTCAATTGCTACTCCCCCCCCCCCCCTCCCCCACCCTCCTGCCATGTAATAGGCATTCGTAATCTAATCCTGTTCGTTGTCTAATCCTGTTGACTTACAACCTCATAAAGCACGACCTATATAGGTTTCCCTGTGGCTTGATGTATGCTATCTTGCTTTTTCATAGCAGCATTCTACCATTGCGCGAATGCGTGCAGATCGTTCAATAAAGCTCTATAGCTTATGTGTCTGTACAACACAAAGAAGCAATCATGCTCTAATTCAAATGCCACTCTTCCATTCAAGGTATCCAAGCCTAGTCAACCTCACCCTCATGCCAAATGTATCGATGATTCCTTTTGTTAGTTAGGATTATGCAATGGTATGTTTATTTTCAGGCGGCGTGCACACAAGGGTGTAGTTCCGGGAGTTTTCCTATACGCTGAATGTATCAATAAGTCCGTATTTCTTGACACAATTCTGGGGTTAGGTATACTTCGAATAGTCTGCTTGAATTTTACCAAAAAATCCTAACTCTGTGAACGTTCCACAAGGTGGACAAATTAGAACGAGTTGATGTCAACGTGCTACAGCAGATTTGAAATCAACGTTCAAAGCTCTATCGAAAAAGTATAGAAATTATATGAGAAAGCCACTTTGACTAAGAACAGTTTCTGTGATAAATCGACACTGCAAGATATTTAAGTACTACGAGCATATTATAACGCAAAACTTTTTTCAAGGAAGGCGATCGCAGGAGCTCCGCTGATATTTGTAAGCAAAAGGGTAGGGCATCTTTTGGTCTTAGGTTGGCTAATAAATAAGTTCGGTTCGACATGCTATTTCGGACTTCTATAACAATTCGAGTAGCAGCTATCTAGCTGAGATTTTTTTTATGGAGGTGGCCTCAAAACTTTACTATTACATATCAGGTGTTCAACATATTCCGTCATCAATGATTGGCAATATGCCTTTATATGGCCAACCTTTGGCTACATGGCGAACCACAACGGAATTGTGATCTGCTGCTCGTGAATTTCTACAAGCAAAAATGTGAGAACTTCCAGGCATTTGCGCGTGGAAGTCAGTTTTTGGGCAATTCAGATTGCTTGAATTTAATCATTTAGAGTTGTGCAAATTGTTGGAAATTTCAGAATTTGCTGTGTGGAGCATTTGACACCTAACTCAGTTCGTTGATTCAGCATGATCTTTCGAAAATTCGATAAAAAAATCTAACTCCATTTTCCTGCACAATTTCGTTGTCAAAATGATGATTGGCGCTTGAACAGAGTTAATCATCCTACTCCTCGATTACTCATTGATTCACACTTTCCAATGGTACCTACATCTCTACATAAATCAATTCGTGAATTCCGCAAACCGATAAAAACGACCGAACTTATTTTTCAGCCAAACTAATACTTCCTTCAAAACTATATACCGCGCAAGATGTAAAATTTCATGATTCGGAGCTTGAATCTACTGTTGAAAGCTCAGTGGCACGCATTGATCTGAAGCTCTTATAAAAACGTACGACTTCGCAAAATTTCACGGAATTTCCGTTGAGGTCAAAATTATTACGAAAACCTTTGCTTAATCAACATATCCATATACAATACCGCTCATAATTCGCCAAAAAAGTCGCCGGACTGCGGCGCACTCCGCCACACTCCGCCACAGTGCGCAGGAATGATCGTCAATTTAGCCATATCTCGCTTCAGAATGGACGAATTCTGAATCCGAGGACACCGTTCGATTCAGCTCGACGAGACGCATCATCTTATATATGAAGCTGAACGTCTGTTTATCTGTTTGTCTGTACGTATGTTCCGAATAGAAAAACCATTTCTGAACCGATCCGGACCAAACTTGGCACACATACACTTCGGGCCCCGCCGGGTATCATAGGCTACTTTTCGTCATCGATCGATATCGATTTTATCGATTTTTATCGATTTTTTGCAGAGTTCACTACGGGGCTGGGAGTTTGCATAGGAGGGTGATCGAGCATGGGGATTCCGAATACAATATTAGTTTTCAGGATTATCGAATACTTTTATCGCTTTTATCAATTTTTTTGCATAGTTTGAGCTACGAGGCTGGGAGGTTGCATAGGGGGGTAATCGAGCATGGGGATTCCGAATACAATATTAGTTTTCAGGATTATCGATTATTATTTTGATTGAATTCAGTGTGCTGATAACAGTATTACCATTGATCTGTCGCTGATCACACATAGACAGTATAGTACACGAGTATGGTAGAGAGCCACTGTGATCGAATTTGTTCTAAGATCTGCTCAAAATCACAATACCGCCCACAGAATGTCAGAATTTCCGTGGACTTCGCGGAATTCCGGGATTCTCGCCAGAGTGCGCGATAATCCGGGAAGTTCGCGACATTTCAGGATCCGCGAAACCATGCGATCACGCAAAGTACGCAACGCCATAACTTCCTTTGGAATGGATATATTCCGAATCCAGAAGCAGCATTGTGTTCGGATCGTCGAGGCGAATATTTTGATATACAGTATGCTCTCGATATTCCATTTCCACTTTTTTCGAATTTTTTCTGTGGAGGTCTTTTCGCAAGGATGTAACGCAGCGTCTGTGTAACATAAAAGATTCCAGTAAGCACTGTTCGATAGTACTGTCTTTGTAGGTTATCTTGCGTTCAAGAGTAGCTGCAGACTGTCTCACAAAAGAAGAAGCGTTGGTGAATTTTGGAAAAATCACGCGTTTCTAAATTCTACTCGCCGTAACTTCCTTCAGAATGAACATATTCTGAATCCGAAGAAAGGTTCGTGCTCAATTCATCAAGGCAAATCTTCCGATATACAGCATATCCTTGATATTCCGATTTCAATATACTCAAATCTTTCTGTAGACGTCTTTTCGTGAAGGTGTAAAGCAGCGCACATTGCCCCTAGGAGATTCCAGCGAGGATCTTTCGATAGTACTTTTTCCGTAGATTACGTAGCGCTAAAAAGTAGTCACAGGCATCTTTCCATAGGAGTCAGAAGGGCTGGTGAATTCTGGAAAAATTATGTCGTTCTAAATTTTTCTCAGCGTAACTCTAAAATCTGAAGCTCTCTTGCTAAGCAGATGTGATTTTCGTAATCAGCAGGTCGGATAACCCTTATAAGCAAGTTTTCCAAGATGTTCGAGTAATTTCATTTTTTCTCGTTTTACGCTCAGAAGCTGGCCGATGGATTTTGGTCAAAATGTTCATGCTCTTAAATTGCAAGGAAACTTCGCTTATAGAAGTTTTCGAACACGCTCTTTACGAAAATCGTGGTCTTTGAGGATTACAGGGTCTTCTTGGAGAGATACGTTTATGTGAATGTAACTGCATCACGAAAGCTCGTAACTTC